CCTCGCGCGGTAAGATGCGCAGGCTTCAATGTCCTGGTTCACTGCATCAGGTGACTCAGCCCCCAGCCCAACTTTTCCTGGACAACGACACAGCTCTCCCGCCTCGCCGCCTCCAGTTTCCCCTCCCCTTGGCATTGCCTGACTTTAACTTTGCGCAGCTTCTTTTCTTGCCTGGCTGGTTGCTGGGAGGTGCAGTGGGCAGTGGAGGCTCCCGCTGCGAAGCTGGGGGAGGAGAGGGGCCCCGGCAGAGTGCGGAAGGCGGCGAGAGTACCTCGCTTCTGTGAGCTCAGCCGGTGGGGGGCCGAGGAAGGCTGTCGACAAGGAGGAGACCGAGGTTGAGGAGGCCGGGGAGGGGTGATGATGGTGTTAAATGTGGCCGCGCAGCTCCCCGGGGAGCTGCTTGAAAGGAGAGTGCGCTCACCAGCTGACAGCGCGTGCTCCGCTCCAGACGCTCCGCACTGCGGCCAGGAGCCTCTGCCAGCCCCTCTATTGTCAGACGTTCTCTAATTAAGAAACACTCACATTACGGCAAACCACCCCCACGCTTCTTGGTTCCTGTCCTTTTCTTTATCTTCCCCGACTTCTCTCCTCCCCTGCATCCTCGAATTTAACCCATTCTCTGTTCCTTTGGCCTCCTCTTGTTTGGGGCCTAGCAGGAGGAGGGCAGGGACCTCAGTGATGGGCGTCTGGAACTCTGCCCGGCCTGCGGTGAGGGCGGCTAGTGAGAGCAGAGTCAAAAATAGCAAGGAAAAACTTTCACCTTTATTAAAACACCCCTCCCCCATTTCCCCTCCTCGCAAAACCAACTGCAAACAATTCAAGCACAAGAGGTCACCTTTAACTCTGACTAGCACTTGCTAGTTTATTCTAGATTGCAAGTGAGTAGTCTAGACTGTAATTGACGAAGTGGTCTCCTACTTTTTGTTTAACTACTTCCAATTCTATCTGAGGTTTGGAACTGACAAGAAGTTGATCATCTCTTTCTCGAATTTTCAAATGAGCAGATTGGAGAAATAATTACAGGACATCCTTTAATAAAACGCTGGTCACTGGTTTAGGATTAAAATCTCTACAGTCAGTAAGAAGCCAGGCCTCATACACGCATTGGTTGTGCATTGGTTATGGCTAAGCAAATCAGCTCCTCTTTTTTTTTTTTTTTTTTCTAGTCAAGCTGGACCCCCAGTTAGCCATGTACCGTAAAGAACGTGTTTAAACTTGCCCGTTGCCAAAAAAAAAAAAAAAAAACTTTCTTCTGCTCTCCGTGAAATCAAATAAGTTTCCCAAAGTGTAGCGAGCCAAAACCCTCCACAAATAAAAGTGGTGGTGGGTAGGAGGCAAAGATAGAATATAAAGCAAGCTCCTTAAAGTATACAAAACTCAAGAAAGCACCAGCAGTGCCGCAAAGGACTAAACAGATTTATTTATCTTCATTACTTTAAGAAATGCTGCCTCTTTGTTTGTTTGGGTGATATTAAGCATGCTTAACTTGCACACATAGTTGATTCCTTTGCTAGTATCTTGGATACTTGGAGCTGACTTTGGAAGGTAGAAGCTAATTGCTAATAATGGAGAGAAAGGAACCAGTCAGCATGGCAGGAGTGGTCTGGCATATGGGGAATGAGCCCTCAGAAATACTCAATATTCAAGTTTCCAAAATATTAATGAGATTATAGAAACCTGCAGCTATATGTTACAGCTTGTTAATGGAGTGTAAGGGAGCGAGCTGCCAAATGTTTGTTATGCAAACTTCATCGCAGAACCTTAAAATGGAAATGTGAATGTGCATCTCTTTCAAAGAAATGACAGCATTAAAAAAGTAAGAAAGAATGAGAAAGAAAAGAAGAAAAGAGGTTAAAGTCCTCATTGGAACTTTGAGCACTCAATTTACCACAAAGCGTTTTGGCTTTTTATGCATGTCCTGATGAGCTTAGGAGAATTTGTTCTTACTTTTCAGTCAGTGTGATATAGTTTCTAATCGTATATTCTGTTATGATTGCTTTTTGCTACTGAAGAACTGTAAAATGGCTACTTTAATTGAAGATGAGGTCATTTCCAATTCATATACAATGCCATTGATATTTAAAAGTATATATATCTGCCTATTAGGATGGTGTAAGAAACAGAAAAAAACAAGAATTTGGATAGCTTTTACATCAGTAATTCTATCAGTTTTCTTAGAAGAAAATTTTGTGGAAGTATTGATTTGGGAAACAGGAGCACAAAAATCTAGTCCTTGATATCGACACTTCGTGGCTGTGTGTTTTGGGGGCAAATTAGGGGCAGTTGTGTCTTTATGTATAAAATAAGATGTGAGGTAGATATTCCCGAGGTTTCTTCTGTTTTAAATTTTTGGAGTCCGTGAAAATAGAAGTAATGATTTTGGAAGAGGTAGAGCTTTTTCCTCTGTGGTTGACACAAAATGAACATAAATGGGTTGAAAAGATAAAATATAGAGTGTTTTTCGTTGCAGAAAGAAAAAAAGAAAACTTTTTCCCTCTGTCCTTCCCCTATTCATACTCAAAAGGTAAAATAATTCTAGCTCATCTTCTTTCTTTCTCCCAGTACAAATAAACTCAACCACACCAAGCCAAATAACTATAAAAATACGTGTGCTCTCATTCTGCAAGATTGCTGTATGACCATACCTACAGAGGCTGCTTATTAAGAGTGAAATGGAAATGCATTAGAAGCAATAGCTTGATTTATTCAGCAGCCTGAAGATTGCTGATGTTTATCATGACTGTAGCAAACTTGATGGGTGCAAAAGGTTATCTAAGGGACAGGTGCATTGTTTCTGCCCTGGAAAGTGTCACTAGCTGTTGCTCACCTCTCCCGGAGAGCTGGCGGAGGCTCTCAGCTTCCCTGGACAGTTTCAGCAGAATGCCAGGGATACCTGTGTGGTCAGTTGAACGATGGTTCCACCCTTCCTGACTAGAGACCAGAGCCTGCGCTCTCTCATCCATTAATTTTTCTGCAAACCAACTATGTGGCGCTCTCTTTTCAAGATGCGTAAATGTGAGGCAGGAGCGATTAAACTAATCTTCCTCTTCTTGTGCACTTCCTTGCCTCACTCAATTTGTCATCTCCAATGAAGATGCAAAACGTACAGGATTTGGTTTAGAATCAACCTCTCAAACACAGCGATTGGAGATTCAGTCTAATGTTGCAGTCCTTAGTTTAATAAATTGTTCTATTCTCACATTTGCCATTCAATGTAGATAGATAGATAGATAGATAATAAAAAAGCTTCCTAGGCTTTCCATCCACATACTCTACTGCGGTTTTCAAAATCTCTGACCAGGAGACATAGACAAGCACTTTTCTTAAGTGAGGATACCAGCGGTGTGACTGACTGCACCATTTAGTTTCTGCAACTGACTCAAAAATGTAGCCAAATGTTTTCTACATAGAAGCTAATTCAGAAGGAGGAAATAAAAGCAAACGTTAGCTTCTATACTGGAAAAATTTAAATTGTCTAAAAGAAAAAAATGATGAGTAGAGGTCAACAAATTCCTGGGGGAGATTGCATGCTGCTTCTTTTTAAATCAGTGAACCCCAATTCCCATTTCCCCACCAAGTTCTTTTCCATTGTTCACTCTCCCTCTTTACCCTGCCCCATAAGAAAGAGAGAAAGAGGGAAGAGGAGAAAGAGAAGAAGAGAAAGAAAATGGGAAGGAGGAGGAGAAGGAAGAGAAGGAGGAGGAGAGGAAAAGGAAGAAAGCAAAGAACAAGAAGAAAGAGGGAAAAAATGGTAAATTTGTGATGTGCATTTGACCACTGAAAAGCTTTCTGCTTGGTTAAAAGAGCTACCCCTGGTAGAGCTCACCATTCCTGGCTAGACCCGAGGAAACTTGTGCCTCCCCTTGCAGAGATTGTTGGGGCTAGGAGTAAGGAAGACTGGAAAGGTCCTGGCCCAAGACTTAAGTGCTGTTTTATCTGGGTTCCTGGTGTAAGGTACAAGGCACCTAAATTCACAGTTAATGGAAGATTTAACCCAAGTCTTTTTAAAGATCATTTTAAAACATTTTCAGTGCTTATAATAGAGTGGAGTAAATAAATGACAATTAAGTCACTGTTCACATTTATTTTCATTTGCAAAAGGAAATACATAAAACAATGGCAATTGGCTTTACTAAATTAAAATAAAACGATTTCGAGTAGAAAATGTAAAAAACAACAACAAAAAAATGAACCAAGATGAGTCGAAATGGTAGCAAACACTCGATAATAAATAAGTTTTCTAACATTAACAAAGCAAAATAAAATTGATCAAATGCTTTTGACACTACTAAATTGTGTTTTTTATTTTTTTCCACTTTTAAAAACAAACATTTGCAAAGAAGCTTAAGGATTATAAGTGGCTTTTTCTTTTTTTTTAAAGGGGGGGGGGAAGCAACACTGGTCTGCAATTGGCAGTTAGTTGAGTTTGTCCTGGAACCGCAGCAACAGCGGCTGGTAAAGTGCGTGCGCCAAGTTTCCTAAAAGATGCTAACGTTCTCGCGACTGGATAAACATACTGAGTATGTTTTATACAATATATAACCCTTAAAGTTTCCTCTTTCCTAAAAATTCCGTAGTCAAAAGTCACTCACTTTGTAAGCATTACTGTGCGTTTTATAACGCATTTTGGGAAACGACTTCGGAAGACTCTCACGTGAGCGCGCGCAACACACAGGGATGGATGCCCAGGGCATAAAATAAATTAAACCCAAACCAGCGACAAAGAAGACGTGACATTTTAGCAGCGTATTGGAACTGGAATAATGATGCCATAGGTGGGTAAATATAATTGTACGGTATCTATCTACAAGGGGAACAGAAGGTGGAAGGAAAGGACAGAACTTGAACAGCATGTTTTCATCAAACAGTCTGGACCATTAGGGGTTTGGAATAGCGGCGGCATTTGCAAACCATCAAATGTAGCTGCCAGCTGAAGCCAAGTCGTTGCTAAACAACGACCATAGCAGAGGAAAAATTAAAGGGTGCGGGAAACTACTGCGATGCTTCCCGCTCATGGGAATGGGTCGTTTGTTTCTGTCTCCATTTTCGGGGTTCCTGTCACCTCCCTAACTTGCCTCATCCGAGTCACTGTAATGGGAGTGGGGGGAAAACTCCCCGTCGCTTCTGTGGGACCTGGGAGAAGTTTTGCTACTTTCTTCCTGCACCGGCTGCAGGATGCTCCCGGGCAGCGAAGAAGACAGGTTCTTTTGCGCCATCATCGCCGTCAGAGCACTCTCTTCGAAAGCCGAGAAATGCAGAGCGTCCAGCTGCACAGAATACCCTCCCGAAGAAGCCGGGGCCGAAAAACGAGTCCGGCAGCTCCCGGGCGGAGCCGGACGCTGTCCTCCAGAGGTCTGCGGAGCCCCAGCTGCGGCTGCGGTGCCTACGCCACCTTCGTAGGAAGCGCCAGCGCGCAGGTGGTGGTGGTCGTTCTTGCAAGATGCAGAGGGCGGTGGCTGTTGCTCCCCGCCGCTGGGCGTTTGCAACAGCTCGGACAAGGCGTTGATGTAGATCTGGGCCATCTGCAGGGTCTCGTACTTGGACAGCTTCTTGTCGTTGTTGAAGGACGGGATAACGTTGCGCAGCTGGTCGAAGGCGTGGTTCAGCCCGTGCATCCTGCGCCGCTCCCTAGCGTTGGCCGCCAACCGCCTTTGCTTCTGCACACCATTTACCTGTTTGCTGGAAGGGGCGCGCTGGCGGCTGCAGCCCAGCTCGTCCACCACCACCCCGCCTTTTAACTTGCACAGCTGTTCTCGCACTTTCACTGGCCCGGGGCTCTTGCTGTTCCCGCTGCCACCGACACTCCTTCTCCCCATTTCTCCCCGGGCATCCGCCTCATCCCGGGGAGCAGCTGCCTCCGAGGCACCTAGCTCCGGGGAATGCAGCAAGTACTGGGCGGCGCGTGCCGTGCAGATGCCCTGCAAAGTGGGAGCCAGCCAGGCGCGTGGATCGTTGCTGTCCAGAAGGGACAGTTCGGCCGGGTAGACGGGTTGTTCTCTCGGTTGTAGGGTGGCAGGTGGCTGTGGCGGCGGAGGCTGCGGGTGGTGGTGCAGTTGGGGATGGCGATGGTGGTCCCCCAACTCCTTCACTTCTGCCCACTCTTCAGCGTGCAGCAGGCGGGACATTGCACTGCAGAGGCTCAGAGACTCAGGGTCAGGAAGACGCGCTTGCAAAGTTGTTCAATAAAAAACCTTCCTGGGTCTCTTCTGCAACGTCTTATTTGTTTTTCCTCCTCTCCCTCCCCCACCCACTCTGAGATCACACACCAGGTCGCGTGCAACGAAGCTTCTCCGGTTGCTGAAGGCGCTGCGCCCCTTTAAAAAGCGGCACGCGCCAGTGTGTCTCCCGCCCCCCCCCCCCAGCTCCTCTGCCAGCCCCCTCCTCGCGCCGGTCGCGTGTCTGCTCAGCCAATGGAGGGCGCGGGCAGGCGCGTGCGACCAGCCAATCAAAGAGTTTTTACACTAAGTCTAAAGTTCCAGGGTGCTGCTGACTCCAGCTCCGGGACGCTTTTTTTTTTTCTTCTTCTACTCTTCTCTCCTTTAAGTTAGTCAAATTCATATGTTAATTGGGGGGGGGCGGTGTAATTTGACTCTTGTGTCTGTCACAGCCCTCGCGGCGGGGGGTGCGGGAGTTAGTGGAGAGGGGTTCCCAGTTTGAGCCCCAACCGATTTGGGTCAAAAGTGAGCGGCGGCGGGCGGGCGGGCGGCTCCCAGGGAGGCTGGGCGCGCCTGGCACTGGCCGGGGACTCGCGGCGGAAAGAAGCTTGCTTGCGCTTTGCTGTCTTCCAGGCAAAGATGGCAGCTCCCACTGCCTGTACCCAGACATTTAAAATGTATATAGAGTCCGACTCATAGCCACCTCTCCTTGGGTTTCCTAGGCAGTATCATCACTACAGAAGTAGATTGCCAAGTCTTCCTTCCGAGGAGTGGCTGGCGGGTTTGGACCACCATCCGTGTGGTTAGCAGTCTTAGCCTTAGGCACTAGCTAGGCTGCTAACCAAAAGGTGATTTGTTGGAACCCACCAGCCGCTCCCTCCAGAGAAAGATGTGGTAATCTGTTTTCTAAAGATTTACAGCCAAGAAAACCCAATAGAGCAGTCCTACCCTAAGGAGCTCTGGTACTATACCCTATACTATAGTCAGAATAGATGGAATGGCAATGAGTTTCGTTTTAGGGTTTTGTATCACATATATCACTTTGTAGGGGAGCTCTGGTGGATACTGGGTAAGGCATTTGACGGCTAACCAGAAAGTCAGAGGTTCAAAACCAGCTGCTTTGCAGGAGGAAAATGAGTCAATCTACTTCCATAAAGATTTACAGTCTTGGAAACCCAACGGCGGTCACTCTGAGTTGGAATGGACTACATGGCAATGGGTTTTTATCACTGTACATATAAATATATATGATATATAACCTATATGTAATTGTTTGTTTTTATGTGCCGTCGGGTCAAACCCGACTCATAGCGACCCCTCCTTGGGTTTCCAAGACAGTATCACTACGGAAGTAGATTGCCCCATCTTTCTTCCGAGGAGTGGCTGGTGGGTTTGAACCGCCAGCCTTCTGATTAGCAGTCAAGTGCCTTAGGCACTATGCTACCAGAGCTCCCAACATAATTGCTTAGTGAGTCTCATTTAAAATCGCTGTTACAAATAAAGGGAGGGGGGGGCATAGGTCTCCAAACCATCTCTTACTTTTACTGTATCTTTTCATCTCTAGTGCCAGGCCTTTTAGTTCAACTTTTTAACGTAATATCCCTTAATGGAAAGTAAAATTATGTCGTATTTTTAAAATGCACCTAATCCCAGACCCTCCAACCCTCCCTACTTCCTTTTCCCAGCACCTAATTTTGAGGCAAGGGTACGCAGAACAGTGGTACGCAGAAAGTTGCAGCACCCACAAAGGTAAACCTCACTAAACTACTGGCGCGTGGATTCTCCAGTAAAACCGCAGCGCACCTCTCCCATCCGCCCTGTCCTAAATTGTGGAGTACTCTTTCCCAGCACTTCCCCCTCCCTACCACCGGCTCTAAACCAGGGAGGTCCTTGGCTAGGACAGAGCCGCCACTTCTCTGTTGAGTGCCTCTATCCCCACCCAACCCGCTGCTATTTAGCCCACAGCATCTTTTCGCAGCAAAGAGCCAATCAGAAGAGCCCTCGCCCTGGGCACGCCCGGCTCGCGCCCAACTGCACCAGCTCCAGGGACTCTCCAGCACCGTCCCTGGGTCGCTAGAATAAAACGTGGTCCAATTGTGCTGCTGTTGCTTTCGATTTACTCGAATGCTAGTTTTCCCGAGGAGTTTCAACCGCTAGGAAAGACAGGGAAAGAAGAGCCTGCAGAGACAGGTCCCTGTAATATGCCTTTGCAGTGCCCAGACAAGACTGAAAATTGTTCTTGCTAGAATTCACAGGTGTGATCTAAACCTGCCACCTAGACATCCCTGGCCATATAGGATTGGATTTTATACTTGGGGCTGGATTGGATTAGTCATATATAAATATAAGTAAACGTATAAATATTTTTATAAAACCAAATCCACTGCCATCTCTTTGATTCCGAGTCACAGCGAACCACATTGGGTTTCCCAGGCTGTGAATCTTTGTGGAAGTAACTTGCATGATCTTCCTTCTGCAGAGGGCTAATGGATTTGAGCTCTAAGTAAAATTTTTGCAGAAGATAATTCAAACACAATTGCAGCAGTATATTGACAGGGAACTTCCAGAAACGCAAGCTGAATTCAGAAGAGGATGTGGAAAGAGGTTTATCACTGCTGATGTCAGATGGATCTTGACTGAAAGCAAAGACTACCAGAAAGATGTTTCCTTCTGTTTTATTGACTATGCAAAAGCATTCTACTGTATGGATCATAACAAATTATGGATAACATTGAGAAGAGTGGGAATTGCAAAACACTTAACTGTGCTCATGAGGAACCTGGGCATAGGCCAGGAGGCTGTCGTTCAAAAGAACAAGAGGATACTGCACGGTTTAAAATCAAGAAGGATGTGCATCAGGGCACCAAGGCAAAAAACACAAGCGTTGCCATGGCGTCAGATCCAACTCACAGCGACACCCCCCCCCCCCCGCTCTTGAGTTTCTGAGGCGGTATCACTACAGAAGTAGATTGTCCAACCTTCCTTCCAAGGAGTGGCTGGTGGGTTTGAACCACCAGCCTTCTGCTTAGCAGTCAAATGCCTTAGGCACTATGCCACCAGAGCTCCTATCCTTTTACCATACTTATTAAGTCTGTGTCGTTGTCAGGCTGTTGTGTGCCATCAAGTCCTCTCCAACTCATAGAGACCTTACATACAACAGAACGAAACACTGTTGGGTTCTGCGCCACCCTCACATTCCGTGGCACACCTGAGCTCATGGTTGCAGCTGTGTCAATACATCTTGTTGAGGGCCTTCACCTTTATCCTTGACCCTCCACTTTACTAAGCATGATATCCTTCTCCAGGGAATGGTTCCTTCTGACAACATGACCAAAGTAGGCAAGATGAAGTTTGGCCATTCTCGCTTCCAAGGAGCATTCTAGCTGCAGTTCTTCCAGGACAGATTTGTTAGTTCTTTTAGGAGTTCATGGTACTCTCAGCACTGTTCACAAACACCACAACTCAAAAGCATCAACTCCTCTTCAGTCTTCCTTATTCATTGTCCAGCTCTCATAGGCATAGGAGGTGATTGAAAATACCATGGCTTGGGGAAGGCATGCCTTAGTCTTCAAGGAGACATCTTTGCTCTTCAGCACTTGAAAGAGATCTTCTGCAGCAGATTTGCCCAATGCAATATGTTGTCTGATGTCTTGACTGCTACTTCCATTGGTGCTGATTGTAGAACCAAGTAGTATGAAGTTCTTGACAACTTCAAACTTTTCTCCATTTATTGTGATGCTGCTTATTGGTCCCATTATGAGGATTTTTGTTTTCTTTATATTGAGGTATAATCCATACTGCAGACTGACATCTTTTGTCTTCATTAGTAAGTGCTTCAAGTCATTCTCACTGTCAGCAAGAAAAGTTGTGTCGTTTATTATCTCAGGTTGTTAATGAGCCTTCCTCCAATCCTGATACTACATCCTTCTTCATATAATCCAGCTTCTCAGATTATTTGCTCAGCATACAAATTGAATGAGTATGGTGAAAGGATATAACCATGACACCCTGTCTTCCTGATTTTAAATCATGTAGTATCCCCTTGTTCTGTTCAAAGGACAGCCTCCTGGTCTATGTATAGGTTCCACATGAATATAATTAAGTGTTCTGGAATTCCCATTCTTCTTTCTTTCTTTTTTTTTTTTTTAAATTGTGATTTGGGTGAAATTTACAGAGCAAATGCACTTTCCATATAGCAATTCACATACACTTTGTCTAATGATATTGACTACAATTTACCACAATGCAACAGCTCCCCTCCCACTTCCTCCTGATAGTTTTCCCTGTGTCCATCCCTCCATGCACTCCTGAACCCTGAGCTGTCTCCCTGTGCATAAACAGCCCTTCTTTCTCCCATGATTGTTCTCTCCAAGGAGTGTATCTAACTCAGGTAATTGTTCAACTCATATGCCTGTCTTTTGTTTGGCTGGAAGCCACAGGTATGGGTTCAATTCCAGGCCTGAAGGGCAGCTAGGGGCCATAGTCTCAGTGGTTCCACCAGGCTCTATCAGAGAAGCGAAACTTCCGCCCCCTTTTCCAAATGATTTTGAATTTTTTT